AACATGTACGTACCAAGGGCTAGCCCTTGAGAAAAATAGTTAGTCAAATCCAACCAATGGGAACAACATATATACCTGTCCGTGCAAACAACAAAGCGCCCTGCATGCCATTGAAATCTCAGCAGTGTAGAATAAAGTGGGAAACAGAATGGCCTACGATCAGCCAGGTAAGTGCCCAGTTGCCGTTGCTCACTGTCCAATGTATCAACGACGAGACTGAGAACCGTAAAATCTAACAACAGACTCTTGTGTATGCGCCACGCGTAGAAACTGTGGCAGGCGTGTCAGCACACACACAAGTGAGATGCAGCGATGCACGCATACACATTCACGGTCACTGTGGTGATCGCAGTCATTGCTACGTTGATCTGAGGAAGAACTCATTAACATGCAAGCGTCCATCGAGAGATATTCGTACCGCGAGTGTTCTGTCCGCAATTCCCAATTTATGATATTGTTTACACAGCGAGAAGTACACAGCACGAACGGCACGATTTCTTCGACAAAGTTGGGATTGGTAAAGTTGTTGACAGCGTACTGCCAGATCGATGTACAGATCAGGATGGTGTGTGCCGCATCGAAGAGCCTGTGGCGTCTTCAGTGGGGGCCGGGGGGCCGGGCGCTTTCATTTAACTGGTATGTGTTCGCACCAAACCCATGTAACCTGTGGATGGATGCAGTTGCAAGCGGGGCATTTGGTGAGCAAGCGGAAATATGTACGAGGAATAGAACACCCACCAAGAGCTTGTACTTAAATTTGTCCATAGGAAATACCTGGAAGTAGAGGAAGGTCTGAAAGCCTAGCACTGCGGAGAGCCTGCGAGGATTTAAACTGGGTGGTCAACGTATATGTATGGAGTGCTCCGCACCCAACAGAAATCAGGCATCCCGCGAGGGCTGCGCCAACCGTAGAGTGCATGCCCTTGTCCTGCACCATGTTTGGTTCGTCTGAGAAACTGGAAAAAAGGTGGATGACGTTCGCAAGAACATGTCCTTATAGAGGGGGACGAATTCTCACCCTGCCTCTCTGCAAAATCATTCATGATAGGTGTCGAGATTGAACGGTGATTCGGCAGCTACGGCGCTGGCGGATTAGAAATGCCAGTCCGTATGCTGGCCGCCCCACCTTAGTGACCTTACAGAAACACTGCCATCGATCTAATCGGTGCCGCCGCGGCAGCAGCAGTTCTTCCGCATGGCGTCCGAATAACAATCGGCCCGAGTTCTGCGTCGACCACACGGTCGATCGTAATAATTCTATGCCAACAGCGAGCCTGGGTTCTTCGCGCGCTCGAGGGTATGGCCATGGATCTGCCTTCAAAGCCTTCATTCCGGTGAATTTGCCACTGGTTAGTGTGAACGGTTCGGAACTACTCAGGTACTACTAGAATTGCCGTTTCCAGTTCGGACCAACCTCAGGCAAGCGTCATCAAAGGACGTCGTCCTTTGATACAGTAACAAGGCAAACTTCTATCGTGCAAGTTGGCATCACCCATGGAGTAAATCCCGGATGCCGGCCCAGCCGAAGCAGCCAACGCCAGATCACCTGTCATCCATGTTCTCGTTTGACTCGCATCGCTTCTTTGGCGTTTTTGAAGTGATAAGTATGACCAGTTTTACTGGGTGGTATTTTTGCACAATCGGTCGGGACGGTGACCGCACGTCTATGATACGAATGCCGTACGCACAACGGTCCCTGCCTCTCCAATTCAGTTAATTCGAATATTCAGCTCTAGGATTTCGGTTATCCAAGATGGAACAATTGGAATGGCGGCTGCGTCATCCATTACCATGCTGCACGAGCCTAACTTTCTCGGGAATAAATATTCAAATCTGTCATGACATATCCTAGCATCATGTCAAGGTGTCCTTGAGCTCCACTTAAATGTGTCGCGGCGCTGCCAACTTGAAGAACGAGACATTTCAAAGCATAAGATATCCTCGGGGTTGTCTCCGCGGACGATGTATTTCTCCCTTGCAACGAAAGAAAAGTTTCAAACTCCGTCATCACTACTAGTATTAGATGGTGGATGGCTTCATGAAAGGCCTCGGGATTTCCGGCGGAATTCGGAGTCTGTCGTGTGTAACAATATTGTGGTCATGGCGAACAAAATTGCAGCCAGAACTAATTACCCGGATGAGACAGCACACTCCGAGTTTCCGATGATGGCCTTGGGCATTGATATTGATAGCTGGCTCGCTGCCAAATACAGCCGTAAATGGCATTGGGGACATCATTGAAGGGCTTCAGCTGGTCTTCAGAATCCAGGATTCTGAGAACCTAATTGGAAGGCTTCAGGGAGAACACTGCCAGGACCAAATGTGCTGTCCATCTTGTGATATATGTAGGTACACTACTCTCCGTATATGACAAGACAGGGGGCATAATTATCCATCATACACTGGCAACTACGCACATTCATTGGTAGTTATTATAAGTGGAACTTTCAACGGAAGCTGCGCGCAGTGTTTTTTTATTCCCTTCACTCGTTGAAGTCATATCAGAAAGAAAAATATAGGCATTTCATTCATTCGCAAGCGAATTAATTTTTTATTTCCTCCCCAATTCACGATGAATCGAGAAAAAAAATTTTGGCGATGCGACATGAGCTTCTTGTGCGCGCTCAAAAACTACTATCTTCTTTACCGAGATTACGCTGTCTGTCCATCTAAGGCCGCCCTTCCGAACCACGATAGGTCCATCCGGAAGGCTGCGCCGTCGAACACCAAATAGCCTTCAGTACCGAATATAGGTTCCAATATCGTTCTCTCTCTCAAATTATGCATAATGAGTCCATTCAAGACTTCAAGTCAAGCAAGGGCCGCGGGGAGCCGGGACCTCTTGTATAGCCTACAATTATCTCCTCTCACGAGGCACGACAGCTTTAGTAACACACAAATGCCTATAGGCTTCATGTGAACGCCCGCCAAACGCGTACGTCTATAGCTATCTTCCCAACCGGCGAACGTGAATGTGACATCTTCCGACCTTTTGATTTGACTGGAGCATGTTATTGGTCGTCAAGACGCGGTTGTTCCTGCAGATGTGCAAAAATATTATAGACACAGCTGCCTACTAGACCCCTCTACATCTGTCAACACTCAAAATAGACAGAGGTGTGGCCATTTTCGGCTATATCTGTCTACATCATGTGGATTCGGGCCTGTCCGGGTCTGTCCACATCTGTCGAGTTTGTAGACACACCTCTGTCCACCAAGAACAAGGCAAAATCTGCAGTTATGTACACTGTCCCTTTGGGATTTCCAGGAGCCATTGAAAGACGATTTCGTTGATTTTGGCAGAAATGGAACCCAGGACAATGCAGTTCAAACCAGAAAATGGTCGAGAGTAGAGAGTAGAAATGATCGAATCATTCGGCGCACGCCTTAGTCAGCCGGCTTTGCGCTTCATCAGCTATCAGTCATTGGACACTGGCTCATCCACGCTACTGAACAAGCCCGCTACTGCAACCGTGTCGAGGACACTCTTCTATGTACTTAACCGAGAAGCCGAGCAGGCTGCAACCGCCCGCCCGCCTCGATACCGAAGACCTTACTTGCTTTCCGAGCGCTAGCTCGAGTCTGCCACATTACGGACCTCGAGTGCAAATTCTCAGCGCTATCCTGGCTGGCCGGGCGGAACCCTCTGCATCTCCGTCCAACTGGACAGATTAGCGAGCCAAGTTCAAGTTACTGGCTGTTACTTAGAACGCCAGCACCAGCACTGTCAATGCAACCGGCCGAATCTGTTACATAGTTGGCCGGGCCGCCGACCTTCTGCTTGTGTGTCTGAGCTCGGTCCCTGCCCGTCTGCAGCAAAGACTTGAATGCTGTGTCGCACATGATCCCCGCGCACTTGACGCGTCTGAATATTGTGAATCCCCGCGGTGATCTCCGCCCTTCCGTGTATATTTCAGCCTCTTCATTATTCATCCTTACCAATGGCCACGCCCACTTTAGAGCCCTCAACGTCGGCATCCGCCTCATCCCTCAAGCCCGATCCAGTGCCGTACCCCATCAACGCGCCCGGCCACTTGAGCGTGCACGTGTCTCTTCTGTACGTCTCCGTTCCCGTCCTCCTCGGGGTGATCTGAGACGAGCGCAGGTGCGTCGGCTTTACGATGCTGTTCTGCATGGCAGCGCTGTGCTACGTTTGCTTCCAGCGGCGCCGGACGTCACGGTGGACGCAGCGGCGCATGCAAGTGCACAGCGTCGGCGCTCAAGGTGCAGCGCGCTGGGAAGATGATGGTAGCGAGGCGCAGGCGGAGGAGAAGGTGCCGGTGCTGCACGACGCGCGTGTCGTCGGCGGCGGCGGCCCCTGGCACACGGCGGCAGCGGCGGCTCTGCGGTGGGGCGCGATTCAGGTGCGCGTTTGCATGGCCACAACCGTGACGGCACATTGACATTGCGCAAGCCACTAGCGCTGCAGACCCAGATAAATTCTTGCGCGCCTGCCATGGCGTGGACGACGATCAAGCCGCGGCGGCGCTCCATGTCCAGGCACAGTAGCAGAGCCGTGCATGGGCACGCGAGCAGCGACGCCTCCTCGTTCCAGAGTGCGACGTCGACGTCTCTCGAGCACGTCGGGATCTGCCCCGGACAGGCTAGCGACGCCGCTGCAGCTGCCGTTGGCGATGAGCAGTACGTGCCGGTGCCGGTGCCGACGCACGTCGTGGTGCTGATAGCGATGCCGCATCCGCCGCCGCAGCCAGACGGCGAGTGCGACGCGGCACGCGCGGACATGTCTCTGAATCCACTGACAGACACACTCAGGCTATTGCACGACGTCATGGACGCGAATATGGCCCTCGGCGTCGCGGACACCTCGTCTATCCTGCCTCGTGCACATTGAGTCGCCACTCGAATTCTCTATTCACTAGTCACACAATATCTATCACATAATTTATTAACTAGATCGCGAACTGTATGGTACCCGGACGCACAAGGGTGCATGCTACCGGTTCCCATGACATAGATCCTCGTGGCCGTGGTGCAATCAGTCTTGACTAGTATATCGGTTTAGTACACGCGCTTGTCATCCATAAGAATGTTCCTGAGTTACGCGCGTAAGCTGGGTTCGACTCCCAGGTCGAGAGTTTCTGCGGAGCCTTTTTTGGGTCTGTCTGCCCTTGCGATTTACTGTAATAGCAAAGAGAATACACAAATTTAAAGCGCGGTCTGCAGCTAGCTACTTAGGCACGTCACTAGCTACTAGTACAGTGTGCTACAGCCCCCTTGGTGATGATGCGCGCGCCCATGGTGAAGATTTTTATGGAACCCTTCTTCAAATCCAACTTCTCAGGTACCAGCTTGAATTTGAAGTTTGACAATCCTTGTATCGTCACTTATATTGAAGTCTGTTACAGAAGCTAAACCAATCCTTATAAGGCGCCCGAACGGAAGTCCTGCGCATGGATCCATGTGTGCTGATCACGTCCGATCGGCGGAGCGATGGTGCTCGCTAGTCTCTCTGAGTTCGCGCCCCGTCGTCGCTTGACCTACCAACCCACGCACCCGCTCGGACCGTGCTCTCACATCGCACTTGAACGGAACCGGGTGGCTTGCCGAGCGGCGAGATCAGCATACACGCACGCAGGGCTGCTGCATACGCACCAAAGAAGCCCGTCGGTGACGTCGGCGACCACCTCAATACGCGCGCCGCGCGCGTCGACCGCAGGGGCGATCGCCAGCGCCGCAACGGCCTTGGCGACGCAGATCCAGACGGAGACGTCCGCGAGGTGGATGCCTGGCGCGTGCCGTTGTCAGTGGAAGCGCACGGGATTTATGGCACGGAGGCGTACCGGGGCAGACTCTGCGGTGTGGAGTGCAATAAGCCAAGGCAAGAGATGCTTAGTATTGCACACACCGGCGACCATATCCGAAGAGCCCCATGTCGGCGGGGTGGGGCTCCGCGTGAGATCCAAGGAAGCGGTCGGGGTTGAACAGGAACGGATCGCGATAGACGGCCGGGTCGTGCAGGAATTTCCTTGTTTGGCGGTTGGCCACGGAGCAGTTGACTTTGAGCGTAGCAGGAATTGAGCTCACCAGACGTTCGGCAGGACGATAGAGCCCTCCGGGATGAAAAATTCGCCGTAGACATCGTCGCGCATTGCACGGTGCGGCGCAGCTGTCGCCATAAGCAGCAGCGCGATGATTTGAGGGTGTCCTACCTAGCGGGACGACCGGTAGGTATCTGGAGAGCTCCTTGCATAGCGCATCGAGGTACGGGAGGGCGTCCCTGTCGCCGAATGTGGGCAGCCTGTGCGGGCCGACGACGTTGTCCATCTCCGCTTGCGCCCTCGCCTGGATATGCGGGTACTTGGCCGCCACGAGAAAGTACAGCGTCACGACGGATGCGGTCTAGGTACGACATGAGACGAGCTCAACACAATTGCGGCTGTACCGTTTCTGAGCCCGCTACGAGGACATCGGCGCGAGTACTAGCAGGCGGCGCGAGAAAAGTGCTCACCGCCGTAGAACGAAGCCGCCGACCACTTTATGTCGAACTGCCTTTGGTCCGAGTCGCCGGCTTCACTGAGTCGGTTTGCGGCGTACGAGCTCGCGGCCTGCCCCAGCTCCTTCAAACTGGAGTCAATAAACAGCTCAGCTGCACTGGCAAACAAGTTGCTCGCCATTTGCTCCTTCACGTACGCCAGCGGGATTTCCGCCATATCGTCGCATGAATCACTATACTTTTCGACGAGACGCTTGAAGTTGGCGCCCGGGAACCTGGGCTTGCGTGGAAAATGTCACGACATCCGAAGTAAAACCGACGCATACCAAGACGGAACATATTTTACTGAGCATGGGTATCAGAATGGGGCGCCAGGGTGACATCCGATAGACATACAAATTGGCAGAACCTCGATCAGGAACGCGCCTGGGCGAAAGATATGTGAAAACTCCGCCATCGCCTGCCAGTTCAAGTTCACGCTCAAGCTCGGCGCGGTAGGAGTTCACAATGCACACCTTGTCCGCCTGGACGACAAACGGGTCGTTCCCGTCTTCCTTGATAGTGTATCCATAGGTCAGCTGCATGACGATGGCAGCAACAGTATTTTTTATTGCCTGCGCGAAAGGTGTGAGTGAGCACATTTAGGGACATTCGTCCCGAGGCCAACCGCGTTAAACCCTGAGGGGTCGTCGAGCACGCGCTTCAAAAGCATGTTCCCCTGGTGATCTTCCACCGAATAAAATTTCTCCATGCCGCCGCGAGTGCCGATTTCTTTGGCGATCAACTTCCGATATTCCCTGAATCTGGGCTCGACCTTCAGTTGTCGTCGTTTCAACAAATGCATTGGATGGATGCACCTCGGCCCATACCGTGCGCTGTCGACGTCGTTCCAGTGAGATTCAGCTCTGAAGTCAAACGTTTCCTTACCTGCTCAGGACGCGGTCCCAACCACAAAGATTTCCCATCTCACAAGTTGGGCGATCGGCATAGCCCCTTCGATCGAGGATCTCTGCCGCAATCGCAGCGTCGTTGATGATGATAAACGGCTGGCGCAGGAGCGTGACCGACATGATGCCACCTACATTGTGGTATCTTACCGTTAACGGATGATTCGCGGTTTAACAGCGAGACGATACCATACTGTTCTCCCCACTTGGCAAAGGTTTTCCAGGAGTAGCTTTCGGGCATGTCAAAGACATTCCCGATGAACGGATAGCCCTTTGGCCCGGGCGGAAGCCGCTGCATTCTCCTTGTGCGGAAGTGGTAGAAAGCGCTGAGCGACAGCGCCGCTGCAACTACGCCAATGTCGGTGAGAGTGATGCTGATCATAGTGTAGGGAGATCGTTCGCCGTATGTCGTGGCAAGGAGAGGCTGCTGGGAAGCTCACCAAATGTTTGTCCCGAAAAAACCCGAAGTTCGGCCTGGTAAGTAGTCAAGCGTCACATGGATCGGCTGAAATACAGCCCGGCCGGCTACCGACAATGGGCCGGGGCACATTGATGGCATCACCGGGCGGCAACCAGCCTTCCGGATGCCATCGAAAATTGAAGCTGGCGGGTCCCAGCCACGCTAACTGTGGGAAAACCCCATGTCCGTTGAATGCACCATTGAATTATTTCCCGCAGAGTTTGGTGCAGTATTTTAACGATTTTATTCAATATTTTTTTGCAGTCCTGTGCTCCAGAGTTGTGCAAACAGAATGCAAAAAGTCCGGAGGAAATCCGTTGAGAATTGAGGGCGCAAAAACCGGGAAAATCACTTCTATGTGTGCTCACGAGCGGCGTTCCATCGAAGCGGCGTCTCCGTCATATCGGTCCCCAGCGTCGAACGCGCATCGCGGCGCGGTTGCCGTCATCTGATGCCTCGTTTCAGGCTGGCCCGGGGGACGATGCCCGGGTTTCAGGCGTGGCGGGCGAATCCGAGTCGAAGGCTAGCGGTACCGCAGTGGGACGGGTTCATTTCTGTTTTCTGAAGTCTTCCCATTTCTCCAAATGAAATTGAACAGCTTCAATTCACCAGATGTGATTCAAACGTTCGACGTTCAACGTACGTTCAACTGCGACACGTGTGTCGCCTTTGGATAGCAATTAATGTGCCGCAGCTGCCGCCCTTGACACGTGTGCGTTCCGTTACATCTGCGTCCGCGGTGGCAGAGTCGATGAACTCCGCCCTTCCGCGCATACTTAAGTCGCTTCGCGGACCGCTGGCCTCCATGATTATTGCCCGCTATGTCGGAACCCGCGTCGGCGTCCGCCCCTGCAGCTTCCTCGCGCGCGCGCGACCCGGAGCCCGCGCCGCACAGCCGCTTGCGCTCACTGGATCTTGCGTATGCCTCCGTTCCCATTCAGCGCGCGAGCTGAGACGGATCCAGATACGTCTGCCTCTCGCTAACCTTTGTCGTAGCGGCGGTGGCCGCCATGTGGATCCGCCGGCGCACGCAGGCGCACGCAAACAGGCCAGGCATTCGTGTTCAAGTCCGAGGTACGCAGGGCGGGGAAGATGATGCCGGTGAGGCACCGGCGCAGACGCCGGTGCTGCACGACGTGCATGTCATCGGCAGCGGCGACGCGCACTGGCGGGCGGGCCCGGGCTCGGCGGCGCCGAGGTGGTGCGCGATCCAGGTACGTGCTCGTGGGCGCTCGCTGACCATGACGTACTGAAAACGTCGCGTAAGCCACTGGCGCTGCAGACCCATATGGATTCTCGCTCGTCTACCAAACGGCGTTCGAGGTCCGGGTCCGGGCGCAGTGACAGGGCCGTGCATGGCCACGACGCCGCCCCGCTCCAGGGCGCGCGCGCGAGCCTGAGCGCGACGGGAACGTCGGCGTCTCCCGAGAACTTTGCGATGTTTCCCAAGGCTGGCAGGCGCGGCGACGCCGCTGCAACTGGCATTTATCGGTGCATGCCAGTGCGTGTCGTGGTGTTGATAGCCATGCCGCTTCCGCCGGGGCCGGACTGCCAGTGCCAGCGTGATTCGGCATGCGCGAACTCGTCTCTAAATCCACATCTACATGCCAGTGATCCATTGCCCGATGTCGTAGACACGAACCTGGCCCTCGGCGTCGTAGACACCGTGACCCTTAGACTGGTTTCGCCACGCCCACACCTGGACCCACATGCACTTGCATAGGGGCGAGTCGCCAGACGCCTTCCCCTTCTCCATTCACCAGTATAGACACGATATATTTCGATTTTGTATCACGCAATCTAACGACGCGGCACGACAACGTTAACTTTAGTAACATTAGTCGTTCGTGAATGTGTGTACGCCAGAGAGCGCCTACCGGTGCCTGTCTATTAAATATCAGTCAACGGCCAATTCGTGTGGCTGCCTGAACGTTTCCTGATTAGATCAAGGTATTCAACACTTGCTAATGCGTGCCACGCTCACCAAGACGTTGGTGGCTAGTAGCCAAGGTTGGTGGTCAGAGTGTGGTCAGACAATTATTATGTTTCACTCAAGATTAAAATAAAATAAATACTGGGTTGAAAGGCGTTCGGCATTGCCATCCGGCACATCAAGTGATGGTTAGCCGCGCGCAAAAAACGGTGTTCACGCAGATAATAGATGTTGGACGCAATGAATGTCTGACCTTCTCTATGCTACTACCCACTGCACTGCTTCTAACAGAATAGCAGTGG